CCTGAGCCGGTGAGATTTGAACCGCTGACCTGCTGATCTAGCAGTAGCCTGCAGTGCTGCATTTAACCACTGCGCCACCTTGGCTCATCTTAAGACATTCTAGTACTTGAAGCTTGGTTTTCCTAATAATTGTAGAAATGTAATGTCTACCATCTTCTTATACCAAACCTGCTTATTGGAGGATATGTCTTGTAAATATAATATAATGCATTTATATCTCTGATTCTATTGCTCTCAACTGGTAGGATACATGTTATGTTTTTGTAAAATAAAAATTAAACTACAGATAAAAAGATACATTTAAAATGCGTTCAAACCTGTAACTTGAGAAAGCATCAATTCAGTGCTCAGTTCTATTGTCTTCTGGATACTTGTTTGTGTTATTACTTTGTTTTTGAAGGTGAACACTTTTTCAAATTAGGAAATTTACACTTTCTTCATCTATGGCATTTATTATAAGTAGGTCATATTATCCTGAACAGACAGTTAGGTAAATAATCTTTTCCAATAAATTCTATTCTGGCATGTAATCAGCAAAAAGATGCAATTAAAAATTTATATTTTGTTTTCCATTTATTTATTTAGCACTCCATATACTCCTTTGGAAAAGAAAATCCTTGATAACACAGATGATGAAACAATAACAGAGGAATGGACTCTTGATCATCCAGTTTGTCAGACCAGAACAACAGCTATCGTTGAAGTAAAAGGAACTGTGGATATAGTTCTTAGTCCTCTTGTAGCAGAGGTTTTAGACAGGTATTTCTTAGTTTCAAGAGCTATATGCATATAATATGGTTGTCACATTTCTTCTTGACCTCAGACGGTACAAACATACATTGTCTGAAACAGATATGAATAAAGAGTCTTTTTAATATTTTTCTCCTGCAGCCTCATGTGTTATGTCTTCCTATTTCTCTTCTCCTTAAATTACTGGATATGTATGGCCATATAAGCCAGTATTATAGTAATGAGATGCAGGTTCATGTAAGCCATGGAAATTTACTCTGTGACTTTGATGTCAACCAGTTTTTTTAGCCAACCTACTTCACCAATTTGCCATTACGTGGCTAAAATGAATTGTGATCACATTTAATCTTTCTTGAGCTCCTGTCTTAAGAATATCAGTACTTATAGGCCAAACAAAACCATTATTAAGGCTGTATTTGAACTTCCAGCAAACAGCTTATTCTAGGTAGATACTAGGGGGGAAAAACAAGCCACTACGTGGAAAACATTTCTTCTTTTCTTTTTTCATTTCTATCCTACCTTTCCTCCAAAAACTCCTATTTTTTTCTTCCTGGAAAGCACCAGCAATTTCAGATAAGTTGAGGTAAGAGAAAGCAACTAGCTTAAATATACTTGAGTTCATTAATCAAGTATAGACAGACAGAAAGCTATTTTCTGTCCAGGTGGCCATTCAGAATCTAAAAACCAATTCTGTTTAGAAAATATCAGTTGTATAGTAGCAAAATTGTAGAAACGGTTTCCCTTGTCCAGTCATTTTTGACTCTGTGGGATGGTGCTCATCTCCGTTTCTTACCAAGAAAGCCAGCATTGTCCAAAGACATTTCTATGGTCATGTAGCTAGCATGACTATGTGCCAAGGTGCATGAAACACTATTAGGATCCCACTGAAGTGGTACTTATTTATGTACTTGCATTTGCATGGGCAGGAACTGGGGCAGTTAACAGGAGCTCACCCTATCAAGAGGTGTTTATGTTTTGAACCTGGTCTGTCAGCTTTCTAGCTGACAAGCTCAGCATTTTTAACCGCTGAGTCCTGTTATTAATATGGTACTGTCAGCTGCAACTTCATTTAAGAATCAGGAAAGAAGCCACTCAACTCCATTTGTTTGAAATCAAGTGTACTTTTACTAATTATAAACGAACAGTAGCAAAGCTAAGCTGAGTCTGGTTAATTAGGCGCGAAAAACGAATAATATCATGTATAATTCAAACCCCTCCCCGTGGCACCCCAGTCCATAGTCCAATTATAATGCTCCCACCT